AATATTGCTGGAATTCAAATATTTACATATGTACGTATATAAATTATCAAGAAATTATATAATAAGAAGTGTATAGTTTTTTGTTTTTAATATATAGCGTACTGTAAGGAAGTTATATATATAAGTTATATTTTAATATATAGCGTACTGTAAGGAAGTTATATTGAAACAATCACAATTCAACATAATGTATTGTCAAAAACTAATTATGAATACATTAAAATATTTTCGAATAGTTACAAGATCTAGTTATGTTTTCGCTAATATTTGTTCATTAAATCAAAGAAAGAATATGTTTATGACATATTTGCAACAAATTAATAAAATAAAAGACAATTATAGTACTAATAAGCAGAAAATTTTGTCACAAACTAGAAATTACATTATATCAGGTATTTTTATATTTAATTTATTTATTCGTGAAGAAGAAAAAACCGATATGGGAGAATTAACATTGTCAATTAAAAGATCAATTTTATTAATTCAGGTTAGGTTAACACTTATCATAATTGATAACGATATGAAAGTGTCAAGCATTTTGCGCTATTATATTGAATGTGAACTTTTTATTTATTTAATTTTCATAATAATTCTTTAATTTTATAGAAAAAGCAATTTTCAAAGGCTGAGGAAATGCTACATATTGCTTTGCGACAAGCACAACTTTTGCAACATTATGATGGTATAACTTATGTATATGATGTAATGGCAAATTTAGCATATGATACAAATAATTATAAAAAGGCAAAAGATCTATTTAAATCAGTTTTACAGAGATTAATAGCTAAAGGAGTTCCACAGGATGATTTAGCAGTCATTCATATTAGTCTTAAGATTTCTGACATATATAATAAAATAGGAGATACAGAGTAAGCAGTTATACAATAAATATCAATTATTTTTTAATTTTTTTTTTAGTTTCTTATAAAATATAATATTTGATGATTTAGTATCATACAATATGTAACTTTATTAATATAGAAAAGCAAACATTGGTTACAAATTTTGTTTGCAACATTTACAAAATCATTTGGCTAAAGACAATGAAAATGAAGATGTACTACAATTGTTAGGTTTAAATTTAGAGAAGTATGCATCTATGCTTTTTTCACAATCTGATTATAAAAATGCTTTTGAATATTTCACTCAAGCATATGATATATCCATAAAAATAAATGGTGAAGAAAATGAACAAACTGTTATTTTATTGAATAATTTAGCAAGTGTGTGTTACAAGTTACAAAAATATGATGATACTATTAAATATTTGTCTGAAGCCGCAAAATTAGGTAATATGAATATAATATTGTTATGTTTGAATTGCTCCAAATTGAATTATTATATTTTGTAGGAAAAAAGTTACCGGATATGGTTGAATTAGGTTTCATTCATGTCAATTTGGGAAATGCATTTCTTTCAAAAGGACTGTTTGAAGAAGCAAAAAAAAATTGTAATAAAGGAAAATATTTAGCACAAGCTAGAGATGATAATGAAGGTGTAATAGAAGCTAAAAAATGTCTTGAACAAATAGAAAGTCTGATAGCATAATATAAGTGTAAATATAAGTGTAAATATTGCAGTATTTAGATTTAGTTAAATTATTAAAAATGTATGTATAATATATTTTATTTCATTTGATGAATTATATGAATTAGCAAAAGGAAAAATAATTCTATATTGTGTATAAAAGTTATTAAATATAATAAAATAAATGTAATTTTATGAACTTTTACTTCCTCTTTATATAAAAGGATAATAGTAATAATTTTTTAGTAAAAGTATAATTCTTATATATAGGAAACATACGATGTTTATCTTACGTTTTGTAAATTTAAAATTTACATATCTATTTCATATAAAAATTATTTATAAAAAAATAAATGTAAAAAATATTTTTTTATGATATAAATAAAATTTCAAGACAATGTTCATAAAAATGGTTGGATATAAAATGGTATGTAAAAATAAAGATGTAGTACATTTGCGAAAAATATATATATATATGTATAATGTTTGAGTATATGCGTATCATTTCTTTTGAAATAAGAATTATTTATGACATGAATGATACTTAAAAATGTATTAAATTTTTTCCACATAATGCTAACATTTGTGATAGTTATACAGTATTATTTTCACTGGTATTTGTTTTACAACATACTAGAATACTTACTAGTATTCATTAAATAATATAATTACAATGTTGTAAAAATATAAACTCTAATTTTGAATTCTTATTATAGCAGTCAAATAAATTCTTATTAAGTGATCACAATATGCTGACAGAAAAATACAATACAAAATTATTCATATTCTGCTATAAGTACCATCATATATACACCTAAGAGAAGCGCAATAATTTCTTTTACAGACTGTCTAAAACTAGTATCGGACAAAAGTTCTGGTATTACAGAAACTGTAGCGATATAAATAAATCCTCCAGCTGTGAATGGAAGAATCCACATAGTTGCAACATCACCTATAATGTTAAATTTTAGGATAAGTGTAACATTTATTAAAATTGAATTAATATATTGCAACTTATTCTTACTTATGCCTTCTGCCAGTAACGATACACAAGTTCCTAATAATGCACCTACTGCAGTTGTAAGTTGAAGCATCATGGCCTAAAATCAAAATTATATTGTATAATTCTTATTTTATATAATTCTATCTTGCTAATTGCATTTTAATTGAAATCTTACTTTTCTTTTACTATAACCACTTTGTATTAAAATAGCAAAATCTCCTATTTCATGAGGTACTTCATGTAACAAAATTGTAAATGTGGTAATATACCCAATATTTTTACCAGCTAAATAGCTAGCTCCAATAGCAAGACCATCTGTGAAATTATGTAAAAAATCAGCAACTAAATTTAAATAACCAGTAATTTTTATTTCACTTTGAGAGCTCTCTGCTTCTTTTTCTTTAGAGACCACATCAGATTTATCAGAATCTTTTAGTAGTTTTTTATCATTTTTATTTTCTTTTGATAGCTTTTCTGTGACTTTATGCACATGTACGTGACCATGATCAGTTTTAATAATTCTCACTGCTTTTTCAACAATTAAAAACATGATGATACCTAATAATACACATAAACCGACAGACATATCATGTCCATGTCCTGATTCTTCTTCACTTTGATTATGAGAATGTGAATGTGAATGTATTCCTTCAGGAGATTCATGTGTATGAGGAACTAAAGCATGAGGAATTAAATGTAAAAATGCATCTCCTAATAAACCACCAGATGCAAAACTTAATAATATTTTTAATAGTGGTTCACATTCTTTAGTATTATCTAAAGGTACAAAGAATAAAATAAGAAATGGTGCTGCTGATATGATTAAGGTAGATACAGTAGCTCTAAAAAACACTTTATTGTAAGTCCTGTCAGGTAAAACTGATTTCTGTTGATGGTCATAGTTATCTTCATGTTTATATTGATGCAAAATTTCGTTATGATATATAGAATGTTGATTTTGTAAATACACTTCATTAGCTTCTTTGGAATATTTGAAACTTCGTGATTCGCTGTGATCATGAGTTTGACAAAGAATTGGCAAATTCAAAAGTATAAGCAGCAAAAACGTGCCAAGTGCTATTCGTAAAATCCACTTATTCGTATGGCTTCTTCGTTGGTTATCTTCTGTCATCGTGATTATTTCTATAATTTTGCACAGATTTATTGAAACACAATTTTATGTATTGTTGCCGATGTAATCTTAACATCCGTGCATTGAAGTGTAAGAACTTTTATGTTATAGTTATAGTATTAAACAAAATTAAAAAAATTGCGGCCACGTCAAAGGTTTATGTGTTATCAGTTTGTTAAGACTCAAGACCCATTTGGTTCTTTAAAAAAAATAACATATTAATGTTGGCAGCATTGATTTGTTAATATTGGCTACTCTGACAGTTTATATATTTAAAATTCAAAAAATGTTTATGACAATAATTAAGATATTGTATTTTAATTAAAATATTGACAAATTAATCAGTTTTAAACTCATGCTATTGTTAATGTATGAATAATTGATATTAATATTCAAATATTAGGTGTAATATAATTTTGTATGAAATTTATTTTATTTTTGCGTCGTTGTTACGAAAAAATTCGTTACAAAGAATCCAAACTGGCGGATCTCTTTCAAATAGTCCACGTGAACTGTCAAAGAACGGAATTTGTAGAGGTTAGTTAAAAGGAAAAGAAATTTCTGTATTGATGGTGTTTAGAAATTTTGACATATTTCTCTATCATGTCACATAATACCCTAAAATCTATGGGACATGGATTTTGCGATGCAATTTTTTCGAGTTCACCCATTAATTTCGATAAAGAGGATATAAATTATCAAAATGAAAAGTAAGTATTCTTTTTATATTAATATGTTAAAAAAAATATATAAAAATTATCATATATTGTTCCATTAATTTATAGGGAAGAAATATGTTCTGACGTACTTGATACACCTCAAAGAGGAATTCAAAATCCTAATGAAAATAAATCTTTAAAACTTGAAAAACGTAAAATATTACTTGACAACGATATTGAAAATTCTAAATCAACAAATACACTTTGTGCTGCAAATCTAACTCGTCCAAAATTTGTAAATATATTCCAAAGAAAACAAGTTTTATTTCCTGAACATGCAGTGTGTGATTCAAAGTATAAAACTTGTACAAAAGTAGTATCGACAGCTTCGTTGACTGAAAAGATTTCAACTATTCACCCTTGCACTCCCAAACAACATAAAATTCATACTAGTACAAGCAATACAAAAATAAATATCTTACCTTTGAATAAAACACCTGTGAAACGTTATTTTAGTGAGAATGTTTTATCACAAGCTACACCTGATTGTTTTAATGTTGTTCAAGTTGAGACACCATGTGGTAAATCAAATGAAATTGATATTGATGATCAAACAGTATATGAAGAAGAAAATAGCAATTTGACTGTAGGTATACGTATTAGACCTCTGAACACAAAGTAAGTCATTAAATTTCTTGTACCAAAACATTTTTATTGAATAATACTATGATCTAATATTTTTTTTATTTTTTATTATTTTAGAGAATTAAATGATTCAAAAATTACATCAGTTATTCAAGTAAATGGTCAAAATATTATTATCACTTGTGAATCTGTTCAGCATACTTTCACATATGATCATTGTTTTATGTCACAAATGGATGCATCAGAATCTGGATATGCTAACCAAGAGATAGTGTTTAAAAATATGGTTTTACCATTGGTGCAAAATGCTTTTGAAGGATATAATGTGTGTTTATTTGCTTATGGACAAACAGGCTCTGGTAAAAGTTATAGCATGATGGGTCAAGAGTCTGCCCAAGTTAATACAATATTAATTGACGAAGCAGTTGGTATTATTCCAAGATTTTGTCAAGAAATATTTACGAGGATGTCTACTAATATGAATACTAAAACTACAGTAGAAATTAGTTATTTTGAAATTTATAATGAAAAAATACACGATCTTTTAACAAATGTTACAAATGGAGTAAAAAGAGCTCCTCTTAAAGTAAGAGAACATCCTGTATTTGGGCCATATATTGTTGATTTAAGTCAACATTGTGTACAAAATTACAAAGACTTACAGGTACGTTTATGATATCAGTTGCATTTGTTGTAAAATTATTTGTTTATTATTATATTGTTATAAATACATTTTTTTAGACTTGGCTCAAAGTAGGCAATTCACAACGAGCTACAGCAGCAACTGGAATGAATGAAAAAAGTTCAAGATCTCATAGTATATTTAGTATTATATTAACACAAGCTCAAATAAATAATCAATTAAATAATGAATCTATGGATACTAGTCGTCGTAGTAAAATTAATTTAGTGGATTTAGCTGGTAGCGAAAGATTAAGTCAAACTTGTGCAAGTGGTGATAGATTAAAGGTATATTATAATACATTTAATTACTTAGTTATAATATTATAGTTTTATTCGTATAATAATAAAATCAATTATATCCATAGGAAGGAGTATCTATCAATAAATCGTTGCTTACATTGGGGAAAGTAATCGCATCTCTAGCTGAAAACACTAGTAATCGTAAACGAGGTTTTGTTCCATACCGTGAATCTGTTCTTACATGGCTACTGAAGGTAAGTGTTATTAAAATGAAATTCTATATAAGTAAATAATTTTTTTTTATTGAATCTTCATTAAAAAGTTCTTTGTTGTAACATAGTCATTGAATATTGTAATAACAATCCATACATAAACAATTATTATCATTATTTATTTATTTGAGTTATTTTTTTTATATAATATACTGAAAATTTAAGTTAGGTTCATTTTCTTCTTGAAGATGTAGATAATTTTCTACATAATTTTATGTACATATTCAGTCTTGTAAATTATTCAATTCCTCATTGAATGTTCATAAAAAACTAATTTTTTTTAATATTAATATTTTTATGCTGTTTTAAAACAACATTATACAACATATACAAGTAATTCAATGCAGCTTCTATCAACCGTAAATGCAATTATTAGTTTTCCCAAATTTTAATTTACAATATTATTAATTGCTCAACATAATTTTGGATCATTGATATATATATATAATACAATACAATACAAATGTATTAGAATTTATATGGATTGATTGTTCTTTGAGGTATTTATGTAAAATGTTCCAATATATGTACCATTTAAAATAATACTGAAATTATTAATTTTATGAAATGATAGTAAAAAGAAGTTTTAAAAAAATATTCATTTTAATATTATTTTTAAAAATTAATAGATTATGCATTATTTCAAATAGCAAAGAAGGCTTTATAATAAAATAATATAGAAATAAATTATGCATTATACGTATCTTGAACATATATAAACTGCTGCGAATATAAATATGAATCCAAAATTTTTCGTTTTATAAAAAAAAGAAACATCTAAAAGCAAATATTTCGAATTATAAAATAAATGTATCATACAGATTAGATACTACGCTGTTCTATGTAATTTATATCTTTAAATAGGATATAAATTTATTTCTTGAAATCACATTGAAATTATGAAACAATTCTAGATATTCTGTTTTTATTTGGCGTTTTTTGTTGTGTTATTGATTTCCAAATATTCATTATTTTTCGAAGCTCTTTTTGATGTTTTATCATCAGTTTTCACGGTCTCTTCTATAGTGTCTGCGTAGTCATATTCTTCTTCTTCGTGAATTTCTTGGCAAGAATTTCTTCGCGATTTTTCTCTTATATAAGTTGCAAGACTTCTTCTTTTATTTTCCCGACACAAGTGACAATTTTGTTTCGAAATTACTTTTTGTTCATGATGTTGTGGCAATCGTTGAACTTGCGTCGACTTTCCTGGAAAATAATTTTATGTTTCCATTATATTTTTAATTATTTTCTTTATTTTCTGTTATTATTCTATTTCCAAGTTTATCGTTAATGAAACATTTATTAAATACACATCTTTTTCATTCGAACTTAAGATTCTTTTTATTATATAATTATTGGTCTTTTTATTCCAGAATGTTTTTTCAATGTTAATATAAATCGGCTAAGATTCAGCGACTTTTCGAAAGATATCTTCGTGCGTTACTGCACGTAGCCAATTTACTGACCTAACTCGTAGTTTTTGAGTCATCGTTTTCAATCCAAAAGATATGATTGTTTAAGCAAAATTCTTATTGTGAAAATTATTAAATTGTAAAGCAAAACTCTTGAGAGATTTAAGCAAAACTCTTATTGTGAAAATTATTTAAATCGTAATAACAACAAGAAATAATCATGCAAGATAAAAGAATTGATAATCGAAAAAAAAAAAGAAATTTGAAAATAATAGTCATCAATAATCTCGTAGATAAAATTAATACAGAATCATTATATTTTTTTCTTTTGTTCAATGCAGATTAAAATTTCTACTTTGCTTTACTTCTCCTTTTCCCCTTTTAATTTAGATTTAATTCTTAACCAATTATACTCATAAATCATTCCTGTATTTATACATGTATTTAGAATCTGTTAGTACAAACAGGATAGAAGGATCTTTTATCCTTCGGCATTCTGTTCTCGTTAATGAGTCACACTAGTTTCAATTGTAAACTCAATGAATGAAACGTTACAAATTCTACGCAAGTCATGAATCATTCCTGTACTTATATATTTATTTAGAATCTGTTATTACAAACAGAATAAAGGATGTATATTTATTTACCTTTCGGCATTCTATTTGTTCTCTTTGTTAATGGGTCATGCTAGTTTTAAAAAATATCTTTGCGTACATATGTAAATATGTGTACTGAAGTATCTTGTTCAAGAAAAATATTAGTAATAGTAAAATATAAATGATATACTCGACAGCTACGCACTATTGCATGCATTAGAATGAGATTGATCATGTGCGTATTGTATTACAGCCTTCATATGTTTATATTTGTATTGTAACAATCGTAAATACGTTTTGATCTTTTTTTTCTCTCTTTCGGTTAAATTTCAAAGAAACGCACAACTTATATTTTACATGATTATTTGTTTTTACCGCTTTTTCAAGATTCGATTAAGATATTTAATAACTGAAGGGAACAGAATGTGAATTTTTTTTTCTTCAAATTCCCACTATTCTACGTTGTGCGTAAAATATGATAATGATAATTTCAGAGTTCTAATATATGATAAATAATGCGGAGGACTGCCTTCGGGAGCCCCTTCCCCACGACGATAACGCGAAAGGAGGGGCAACTACGTTGCACAGAAATATCCGAGAGTTATTCTTACACGTATGCACAGGCATCGATTTAAGAATATAGAAATCATCTCTCGATAATAAAAAATTGGATTCGTCGTTATCGTCGTTAATTCGATCATCAAATAATACGCCGGTACATCGATATGATACATATAACAAATTACAATTAATTCTACGCAATCGATGATTTCTGTTCAATTTTCTTGCTTTCTTATAATAATTTTAAATTGTTTAATTGATTGGTATTTTGATCATTACTATCGCGATTTTTGTTTTACTTTGAAAAGGAAGGAAGGCATTTGTTGAGGTGAAGAATTAATTTGTTAATTAGAATCAATTTAAATATACTTGTAATATGGAGATGGTGGAGATAGGTTGTGTCTGTTCATTGCAAATTGAAATATTTAAACATACGGGAACTAAGCGATAAAAAAACGATAGCCTACACAAATATTAAATTAATCGTTAATGCAACTAGCATGATGATATTGTACGAATAGAACACAAAAGTGAAAGTTAATTGCATGACAACAAAGGATAGTAATTAAATAGAATTGAATAATTAGGTAGATCATTTGAATAGCTTCGTCGTGTGCAAATAGCAGTGATAACATTTGATATGATAATCAAATTATTTAAAAGAGAAGGAATATTCATTATCATAATATTAATTAATTATTAATCACACATTGTCAATGTTATCTCTTAATTTTCTTTCTTTCCCTTCTCTCCCATTTTAACAAGCATATTATTTCAAGTTGTCACATATGTGAATATATATAAAAAATAATTTACATATGACTTAGGACATACCACAATTAAAATAATCTTTATTCCACGGCTGCTCGTAGTCTGGATACTGATGAGCTCTGAAGAAACCGTAGGTCAAGACTTCGGGAACATAGACTAAATCCATCGTTTCTGACGATTGTTTAGACTTAGAATTTATCTTCTCAATAGAAATTTATTCGGGTTCTCGTGTTTTACTTATTTATCTTTCTTCTTTGTTATCTTCGATCGACTCTTAATCCATCGTTTCTTCTATTCTTTCGATTTCTAAAGGAGCTGTTGACAAGCTTGTTTAATTGTAGGTAAAACCCGTTCTACCAGTGAGATCTGTTGGTTTTCGTTGCTTCCGGTTTTCTCTCTTCCACCGGTTTTGCGATGAACTTATTGGTTAGATAACAATTCGTAATATTACACATTCAAGAGAGAAGAAAAAGCGGCAGCCGTTTAAAAACAAGGCAAGGTTGTGCTCGACTATTGCTACGGTGTTTTACTTTCAACTAAAGAAGTACGGACGCTGAGCATGCAATGTTTATGAGTCGGTTATTCCCTCTCCATTGGGTTCTTGTCTCTTCTCTCTTCTCTGCGCGCCCAACACACTCTACTTTGCCCCTACTTTTCCTCCAATCACCTTTGCGAATTTCTGGCGGATTTTATAATTGTTCGACGTGCTTATTCATCTGTGGCATTATCTCTCGAATTTTTTCATCTATTCTTATATAAATCCAACAGCAATCTGCCTTTTGTAACGATCAAGATATCGCATGGTCGTTAAATACTTTTTACTACAATTTCAATTATCCACGCTGTTTTTTTTTTTT